ATATATATATATATATATATATATATATATATATATATATTATATATATATATATATATTAAAATATAAGAAAATTATATTATAATATGTATATATAAAATTTAATATATATGTATCTAATATATATAATATTTTTCAAATAAGGAAAGTTTCTTAAAATCCCAAGAAAATCTTAGCTTCTCGTAAAAGCAATTATTTACTCTATTTAGATTAAAGATAAAGATTTAGATAAAAAGTTTAAGTGAATATATTAATATACATCAAATAAATATTTAAATATTTTTTCTCTCAGTATAGAAACGAAAAGATTTCTGTAGAAGATTTCTACTAAGCCAATTGCTCTCGGTTATCTAAGCGAGTTTTAATGCGGCTGAACGTTCAGACGAATGTTTTTGGTCGCAGTAACAGAGATATTATTTCAGCGAGTTTTTCGTTCGGTACCTATTCAGTTACTCGAATTGAAATTTTTCTTCCATGTATAATAATTTGATACACGTGTATGTACGAAAAGGTACAACAACGACGTGCAATACAAGGGTCATGTCGCCGCGAACGGTGCAATGGATGGTATGGGAACGTATATCTTTCCGGACGGATCCTCATTGGCAGCCGTCTGGTCACGAAATAGACCCGTTTCAGACGTCGTCTACAAGGAGCCGCTCGGACAAGAGTGGATGGTCGAATCGGTTTCGGAGAGTGTCAGTATAGAAATGAAACCGCAAAAATATAGGTCGAACGTAGCATTCTTGTATTATATTAATCTGCAATATTTTCTCGTATAAGAATTATTCATTTCTAAATTATTTGCCTACAGCAAGTCTCGTTTACAACTGGAAATCATTTTTGGAAGGAAATACGTGAAGCATCCTCGGGAGGAAGTACACGATCTTTCGTTCGACATTAGTCGAGCAAGTGCGAAGCATACGCGTCGCATTTGTAAATCAACTCTTTTGCGACACTTAATTGTAAATATTTACAAGTCTTAAATACACTTGAAGTGTTTAGAATCACAAGAGCGACACATACGATTCGCCACTCTTTCGCAACGATGATTGCTAATTGAGGTACTAAATTATTCTCACTCGTCATTGTACATAGAGGGCACTCTGAATCGAGTGACAGCTGGTCGGTAAAGCGGATTCTCGTCCAAAGCGTAAACGGTTTTCTTCCGTTCCAGCACGAATTTGGCGTATTCCTTGCGATCCTTTATCGTGGTCCAACACCTAAGACAAGAGAGCTCATCTTACACTCACACAGATATGCGTCAGAATATTATTGAGATCTTTCGAAGGCTGTATTTCATTTGATCACGAGATTTACGAGAGAAACGGCTTACTTCCATATTAACAGGCTGATAATACCAGCCAGAAACACGGCGCCGAAGATGAAACTCGGGATTACCGCAGCGTGGATGGGCGTGCGGCAAGTCTGCAAGTAGAATACCGACAATCGAGACGTAGGAAGGCAGGGAGAGAAGGAAACATCTCGCGACAAGACTTACGCGCGTTCATAAGCCTGCACGACGTACCTTCTCGCCAATCCTCAACATGACCGTCTTGTCCGCTTGAAACTCGTACACGTAGGGTATTGTGCACGTGCTTTTGGCCTGCGTCGTTCTCACGAAACAGTAATGCTCGTTATCTGTTTGCGCGAATTTACGAAGAAAGGAATTTAAGTAGGTTGCGCCGACATAAGCAACGCGAGCTCTGCCTCGTATATACCTACCTACATCCACTGTGTCCACTCGCGCGGTTTTATAAAGAGTCGTGTCGGTCTGACATAGTTCTTCCGCTTTCTCCGGATATTCGACCGTGACGTTCACGCAAGAATTATATAGGATACAGAGACCGCTGCCACCTGCGCTCGCCGACGACTCGCAGTAGGTGCCACGATAGTACAAACCGTCCGCGGCTGTCTCGTTGCATCTACGAGTACGACACCAGGGATGTTTCACTACTATTGTTTTCTTGTTTTCTTTTTTTTTTTTTTAATAAAATCGTATCCGCGAAATAAGAGAAATTTCCTCCGGATTAGAGGATAGATACAATAGACAGAGGAGACATACGAACCGACACTGTCCGCAATCGCAGTATCCGTGACCCGCGCATACTTCTTCGCTGCCGGGAGCGACACAGAGTTCTGTGCCGGACGGACATTGACAGCCGCCGCCTTCCCATCCCTCCAGGCAGTTGCAAACGCCGCATTCACACGTGCCTCTGCCGCCACACTCGATCCCGTCGCTCTACCGGAGGAAGCCGAACGAACAAACTTAATCGATTTTTTGTAATTATTCTGATAATTAGCCGCCGTTACTCGAATGTCGGCCTTTGGCCGGCGGTTGCGCGCTTTCTCTTTTTCGGTCGTTTACCTTGTCGCAGGGAGAACATTCGCAGAACCGACCGTTGTAACCCTTATCGCAGTTGCAGGCGCCACACACGCACTCGCCTCTGTTCGAGCAGACCTGCGTGCTGTCGGCGGCGATGCACTGCAGTCGGTTTTCTACCGGGGAACTCTCATCGCAGTCGCAGGTCTCGCCTGTGCACGGACGTTTTTAAATTTAAATCTCAATGACAAATCTCGAAGCAGGGCGATGCGCGTGCACAGAAAGTGCGCGCTCTTACCGGACCAGCCGAAGTCGCATTTGCATATGCCACATTCGTTGACCCCGTGCTCACAGCGCGAACTTTCTACATTCTTGCAGTCACAGCCGCACAAGAGCTCGACTTCGAACTGTACCTCGGACGCCTCAGACGCCAGCGCATCGTCGATCACTACCGTTTGTCTCTTTGGCAAAACGTAAGAGCGAATTGTCACAAACACAGAACGAATCAACGACGACAAGAACAAATGAATTGAAGAGCTTGTCTTCAGAGCACGTTAAGAATGTATCTTCGAAAAACACAGTTGCCGTGTGTGCAGTTATTTCTGTTTCTATTTGTTTCACGGTTAATTTATGTGATTACAAAGATACGCAAAAAAGTATCTCATAACTCGACCTCAGAACACGGTTCATCGAATATGAGATATCTCTTGTGAACCGTGTTAACTCGTAATCAGAACTATTCGCGCGCGCGTGTGGAGAAGATAGGCTTTTCAAATCAATTCGTCTTGTATACGAGACGCGACACTCACCCAGAGACTCTCGTTCCTCGGACACTCGTCCACCGATATGACGACTTTAAACTCATACACTTGACCCTCCTGTATACCGTCGCACTCGGAAGTGCTCGACTCTGTGCCCGCCTGTTCGCCGCACGCGGAGAAATACTCGAGGCGCAACGGGCCGGTTGAATTGTCACGCAACACCACCTTGCTCACGATATCGTGGTAGGAACTCTCGATGATCTCGAGGATGTTGGAACTGTTCCTCGTCAGAGTGGCCACTCTGGCGTGCTCCTTGAGCAGATCAGCGATCGATTCGTACTCGTGACGACGATCCTCTGTCACGGCGAATATCAGGTTGACTTTGCGCTCTTGCAACAACCGCGACACCTCCGCCAGTGACGGATAATCGTACTCCTTCGCCATGGAGTATTGCCCGCGCTCGTCCACGTGACATTGGAAATCTGGACGGTGCACTACACCCCCGAGCTGAAAACATTAGTATAAATTATGACATCAATGGATCGATACGCGTGTTAATAACACAGGTCAACAAATTAAAGGGTATGTAATATCACATGAAACTTTATATTGATTTCCGAAGGAATTTGGTGCGCTGAATCCAAATCTGGCCTCAGAATGGCGCCATCATGTCAGGATTTTGAGATATTCTAACCTAAAAATAAAAAAATGGCTATTTTAGGGCATTATTGAAGTTTCCTCCTGGTTGCATAGAATTTTACCGACAAAAACTAAACAAAGTACCGTAAAGTACGAGTCTTGCCCTTCAATTTCCATTTTTGAACGTCCAAATAGGATTTTTTTCCACCGAGATAGAGCAGATTTAAGTTTTTACTGCATACAGAAAATCAAATAAAGCGATGATGTCGGTTTATTTGAAATACTTTAACCCTTTTTGAGCAATTCTGGAAAAAAGAGTTTGTAGTTCAAAGGGTCCCGAGGGTCGCTGCTCACAAATCTGGACTCAGATTTCCAAAATTCTTTTGGATTTGGAAATTTTATATTGGATCCGCCATCTTGAATTTTAGAAATCTGAGCCCAGATTCGTGAGCAGCGACCCTCGGGACCCTTTGAACTACAAACTTTTTTTTCCAGAATTGCTCAAAACCAAAAAGGTATTTTAAATAAACCGACATCATCGCTTTATTTGATTTTCTGTATGCAGTAAAAACTTAAATCTGCTGTATCTCGGTGAAAAAAAATTCTATTTAGACGTTCCAAAATGGAAATTAAAGGACAAGACTCGTATTTTACGGTACTTTGTTTAGTTTTTGTCGGTAAAATTCTATGCAACCAGAAGGAAACTCCAATAATGCCCTAAAACAGTAATTTTTGCGCTTTTAGATTAGAATATCTCAAAATCCTGACGCGATGGCGCCATTCTGAGGCTAGATTTGAATTCAGCACACCGAATTTCTTCGGGTAAACTTCTTACTTCTTTTATGATAAAAACCTTGTAAACCTGTGTAATTGATTGGTGGATTAAATATAATAAATGAGAACTCTCTTGTTTTTCAGTAGCAAAAGAATCGCAACATCGTTGTAAGATACTTGTCTGGGGATTAGTGAACAATAAATTCTCCTATTGAAAATAGGAACTCATTGGAGATTCGTTAGAAAGGAAATGCGGCAATCTTTCTGCTACTGACTGTATATTAATGAACATATAACGAATAAATTGCATGTGTTGACCGTGCCTTTCCCTCTCCGGCGAAATGCAGGAGTCCGTCGGTCGCCACCAGCATCAGTTTCCGCGCCTGATGAGCCCATCCGACCTGGCGGGTGCAAACGATCGCTTGCACGACTCCGTCGAGGCCGCCCTCCAGATTATCCACGTTGCCGGTCACTGAACTGTAATTCACCTATGACTCGTGTAATGAATGTAAGCCTGATAACGTCATTTCTTAACTCGATCAGTTGTTCCAAGAGCGAGCGCGTAAACAACACGTTCACGCCCTCGTGGCTTTATTATGAAACGCGGTTATGAATAACTCAAGAAGATAACGACGCAAAGAGGCCGCTGATCACGCGGTTGTTGCGCTTACTTCATGGATAAAACGGGGTATGTTGTCGGTCAGCTCCAGATGATGCCAGAACGAGTATAGCGGTGTGCAGAAGGCGTGCTCGCTCTTACACGGGTTCTCCTCGTGACCTGGGAAGATGTACGGCATCAAGGGCTTGTCGGCATAGCTGCCGAAACCGAGGCGAAAGTTGGTGGTGAAGGTGCCGAGGGTGTTGGCCATCCTCCAGCCCAGACTCACCAAAGTCTCTTTGTCGTCCTTCATCGACCATGTGAGATCCATAAGATAGTAGAGATCCAAGGGATAATTCCTGGTCGGACAGACAGGACGAAATGAAATGATGGGTGCTCAGAATTATTTCACTTTATCCTTTCTTTTCTTTACGTTATATCTGCGCGTCTACACGCAGAAAAATATAATTTTATTGTCAAGATAGGCGATTGTCTTCGATAAAGAACATTTTCTCGATAACAGTCTTGAAATATAATAATGAGGAACTTCAGAAAAGTTCATTATCATGTTTTCAAAAGAAAAAGTTATTGTCTTCGCAAGAATATCACAAAAGCTCATCGAGGAAACAGTTGGCTCGACTTTATGTAGCAAGCAAACCGAATTCTTGTTTTAATTTCATATTGAGTGAATTGCTAAGCACACCGGGATTCAGAATATATTTTGAATAAATCCGATGGGCTTGGAATGTACTTGTGATAGATTTGATATATAAACTTATGAAATCCTCGAAACAAGGAACATTTACTTGGATGCAGTGTGCATTGTTCCAAGTATGTGTACGCGCGTTCTCAGGTATTGCAGCATGAAATTGCAATTTTCAAACGTTCGCAGCATGCGGCTCGAGTTGAGTAAACATTTGAATTACGCGAATCGTTCGTGCTTCGAAAGTATCTGTGTGTACCATCGAGATAAGGATGGGACGTTATTTACGATCCACTAATATGTGCGCAGCGTAACGCGCTATTTCAAGCGCAAAATTGATGTTAGATTAATTTCAGGCTTCGCAAGAGTATCTCGCCTACGCGTCGACGACGCCAGTGGGCGTCATTGCGTTCACCGGTGGGTGTCATTGTGAAACTATCCGCTAGACAAATAGCGGATAGCAGGTCGCGCTACGACTTCAACACGAATAGCATTCGAATAGCTCTATCGTCGCGTAATCGCTCGTACCTTACGTTATCGCGTTTCCCGCGTGTCTGTTTATCGACGGTTGGATGTAGCCGCGCGCAACTTCCACATTTCATTCTCTGCCATCGAGAATCTCGTCGATATTATTCACTAATAATACGGAAAAAGACGCGATCGGCTGACTTTCTCCTTTCTATAAATTCGTGACCGACTGTCATTATCACAGCATGATAACAACGCTTGATTAATAATTCACCGGTGAAATCGCGAGGGAACGCGAATTGCAGCAAAACCTCGACGTTGCTGAGAACAGCCTCGTAACTTAGTGATTCTTTTCTTGACAGAATAGCAACCGTAATGTTCGCCAAGTCATGCGTTAAATTGCACGCGTTTAACGTCGTTTAATGTCTCTAAAGGATTCCTATTAAACGTAACACTGTTGCTAACACGGCAATCGCTGACGTCGGATAACGAGGAAGGACACACGATTCCGCAATCGTGTGGTACAGCGACTTCCTCCTACGCGGTAGAGGATAATGTTGGCACTGAGAAAAGAAAAAATATCTAAGAAAAAGAAACGCGTTTATTGACATTTTGCCACACAGCAGAAATGTCTAAAATATATTACAGGGATATTCTATGGACATGATCGCGATATCTTCAGGACATCCCTATAATGTATTTTGAACATTTCTGCTGTGTGAGTTTCACTTCTCAGATATCTTTTCTCTCAGTGTAGCAAAACAAGTGACCAATCGTCTTGCAGCCTAGTCGTCTGGTTTCTCTCCGCGTCTTTGTTGATTTGTTGACTTTTTCGAAACAATATTTACTTAGCCGGCCGATACTGGAGCCTCAGCTCTTGGCTGGCGTGCGGCCTGATCCTGAGTCGCAGCCTCTGCGGTCTCAGCTGCACCGGCGCGCGGTCGTTCGAGACATCCTGAAAGTCCTCGTTCGCCAGCAATTCCAGCGATCCCGGCGGCGCCGTGCGTATCTCCGCAGCTGGACAGCCGAATGCACGCAGACGCTCCGGCACGTTGCACCTCGGCTTTCCGTGCGTGGAATTTGAATAAGCCTGCATGAACAAAAGAAGAGCGAATTAGAAAAAGAGCGCGTGCTTAGGCATACTTGCAGAACAGAGGACTATTACGAAATAAAACCGCGGAGATCTCGAGACGCGCCGATTCTCTTCGTCCTTCGCGAGCGCAAGACGGCCGAAGCGCGCGATGAATTAATAATTACTGGGAATCGCAAGGGAATTCAGTCAGGAAGCTTCGACGTCGTTTCGAAGAGTGTATCGCAACTTTAGAATTTGAGACAGCAACTGAACAAGTCTCGATAAAACGAACGAAGATCTCGAACGCCACGCGTTCGAAAATCGGTGAGAGAACGAATACCTGTTCAGGTCGTGCGAATGCATTTTCATCGGCGAACATATTTATTATTCTTCTCTGTGAACTGATGATTCATGTAATTCCCCGGATATCGATGCTCGCGTCTTACGTGTGCGCGGATTAATCAGCGCCTTTCCTCCATCCCGTGTTATCTCTCATTCCGTGTTAACATTCGACGTGTTAATGGGAAAAGCCTTCGTCCCCGAAAGTACACAGAATCTTACCCAATCGCTGCACCACGCGCAAGCCAAGTTCGCCTCCAAGCAATTCTCGCAGCTGCTCTGAGCGCTGCAGAGGCTCAGAATCTTCGTGTCGACGCACGAGCATATCCTCGCGAGGTACAGACTCACTGTCCAGACGGAAAATAGCGAGGATCCGGCGCGAGGCTTCATCTCATTCGGTTCACGCACGGTATCTATTCGATCACGACGACACGCGCGCACGCATACACGCAGCGCGTTCGTTCCTCTTCTCTTTGGCCGCGCTTTTTATCGACCACGCGATCGTCTCTGCGCAATAATCGCTCTCGGGACTTGCCACTTTGGCATCGATCGAGCGCGATATCGCGATATCGCATATCACAGCGCACTGTGGGAAATATAGGTCTGTTTCTCTTAGTCGAACTGTCTGAACTCGTGCAGTAAGTTAGAAAGAGACAAATATATTTTGTTTCATTCTAACTTACTGCGCCAGTTCAAACAGTTCAGCTAAAAAGAACGAGAAGGTCTTAAGTTACCTCGGTCGCGCGCGAATTGACACGCGCTCTATTCGCGCGAAAGGCACAGGTGGCACATCGGGATCCGGCGCGTAACTCCGGCCCGCGCAATCGGCATACGGATAAAGTTGTAGCGCGTCTGTTTTCTCTTATCAGCGCGATAGCGATAAAGCCGTAGCGGCGAATCGCCGATTTGGCGAACGTGTGGGACCCCCCAGATCGGAATCGGCATATACGTATTCGGTGCGATTACCGCATCATACGTCCCGACGAGTACGCGACATCGCCGCCTCTTCCGTCTTCAAGTGACTAATTACCGCCGACGGACCGCCGAAGGTCGATCGTTTTGCGCGATCATACGCGCGAGTCCACGCGTGACGAACGAACTGTCGCCGGTGTCGCGCGTTTCTATTTTACTCCAAGACGAGACTAGATGCCGCCTAGGTCTGCCAGCCGCGTTCACGCTAATCAGCCTAGCCGCCAACTGTTGCCCGCAAGCACGCCCCGCTCGCAGATACGGATAATAAGCTCGCAAACTCGAGATTCCCGAGCGCTTCGTGACGCTCAACGTTAGAATCGTCACGATTACGAGACACGGGTCTTTGGAATAATATGAAAAACGCGTGAGATAGAGACCGAGCTAACCGCCAATTCTGCTTGCGAACTGGCCCCGATTTACGGATAATAAGCTTTGCAAGCTCAAGATTCTCGGGCACTTCGCGACGCTCAACGTTAGAATCGTCAGAATCACGAGGCGCGGATCTTCCTAAACGAGTCTTTGGAATAACATGAAAAACGCGTAGAAAAGGATCGCGACATGTAGTAACATGTTTATAGCTATTCATACCTTGCATTTATACATAAATTGGAGAGAGGCCCAAGCAGCAGGTTATCGCCGTTCGTAATCCAGTCCATCGTAATCGAGGTCTTCTTTAATCGAGAATGGAGAGTACATCCGGGAATATCTGTGCGTTCTTCTACAAACGTTATACTCGAACGAAGGACAATCGTGCGCGCGTGAAGCGAACGTTAAAATGGCGCGCACATAATCGCAACTGCGCCATCTGTGCGTCGCTAGGTGCAACTAGCAATTCGTTCATCGACTACTCGAGTCGCGCACGACCGATAAATCATGAAGATGGCGCGATAATTCATCGGGAGATAAGTTATCGATCGTTCGTAAGGCTACATCGATATATCAAGATAACGGCGCGAATATACGAATTCGATAGTCAGTATCCGATGCGCGAATAAAGAGCATATTCGTCCCTTCACTACGTTCCTGAGGTGGCAGACTCAGAGGAGACAAAAGTCGGCTTCAGATTGATGAGAGAATTCGTCGATAGAAGAGAATAAGGAACTGTGTTCAGGTTATTCTCGTAGGTGTATGTTTTTCACGAAACTTTATACTCGCTAACTTTCTGCGTGCAGTCTCGCCATTGATATCGCGTCTGGGACATTTTGTGTGTGTATTAATTTTGTGTGTGTATTAATTTACTCAACTTTTATTATCAAAGCGAAATTCGCAACCTGTTCCTCTTCATCCATCCGCCCGTCTTACGATTGATAGTCGAAGAACGGTGAAAGATTTTCGACTCGCACGATCGTCGTCGTTAACTTCCTCCTCTACTTCCCGGGAAAGGAAAGAGCAAAAGCCACGTGACCTTGTCGACGTCCTCTACAGACCTCTAGTTTGTCATCTATTTTGTACCTCATCACAATCTGTTTTACCTAGACAGTCCTTGATTATTAAAGGGTCATCATCGTTGTCACGCGGGTTTTGAGATCCTTGGACTCGTTGAGAGATTTTCGAACATTTCACTTGGCGTCATCGGAAATTCTGAGATATGATACGGACCACGTCAAGCATACGTAACGGGTTGGCACGTACATTACTTCGCGATTCCGTGCGAACTAATGCTGTGAAATCTATAGTGATCCGATGTCTTCACAGAAAACATCAGCAGAGGTATCTCGTCCACGACCTAGAATCGTCTTCTCATTCGAATCTTGTCGCAGATCGGTTGTCGCTGTGATTTTAGACGACTGTTAAGGTTATTTTATAATTTTGCTTGAATATGAATCACACACGGATGACTTCAACTTCCACAGTGCGACCTTTTGCGATTTGATCTCTATTATAGTCAGAAGTTCAAGAGAAATTTATGTAACACGACAATATATCCTCAAAATGCATCAACAAAGTAACGCAGCTTTCTTTGGCTCAGGCTTCAACATCACAATATCTTGCATGTAACAGTAACACCATGGAACCAGCAATTCAGATTTTATGCAGATTATCCAGATCATATCAAAGTACAACTTCCAGCATTGTCACCTACTATGGAAACAGGAACAATAATTAGTTGGCAAAAGAAGGAAGGTAAGATATCGATTGACCTAAGTTTACAAATGTCTGTAGTTTCCATAAAGATAATCTACTAACTAGTATTCTATGAGATGTTTGTTGAGCATTAATTAATTTAATTTAATTTTTTTCTTATATTTTATTCACTAGGTGACAAGTTGAACGAAGGTGATCTATTAGCAGAGATTGAAACTGACAAAGCCACAATGGGGTTTGAAACACCTGAAGAAGGATATTTGGCCAAGATCATAGTACCAGCAGGAACAAAGAATGTACCTATAGGCAAACTGGTTTGCATTATTGTGGAAGAACAGTCTAGTGTAGCTGCTTTCAAGGATTTTAAAGATGATGGGTCGGATGTTGCACCTGCAGCTGCTCCTCCTCCACCACCACCAGCACCTGTTTCAGCTACACCACCACCAGCACCTGCAGCGCGACCAGCACCAGCCCCAGCAGCGGCTCCTTCCGTTTCTGGAGAAAGGGTATATGCTAGTCCACTAGCAAGAAAACTAGCATCTGAGAAAGGACTTAGTTTGCAGGTATCATTAAAATGTTGACTCATGTTATATTAAAGTTAATTTGTTCAACTAATACACTTTTATGAAAAGTATAAATGAAAAGTAGATGTATTCTTTACACTCTACTTATATATAGGGTCTGAAAGGAACAGGATTGTACGGTTCTGTAACATCTAAAGATTTAGAACATGCTACACCTACTGTAGCAGGAGTAGCAGCAGTTGGTATCTCAGCTGGAGTCGACATTCCTATATCGAATATACGTGCGGTGATTGCTAAACGTTTAATGGAAAGTATGCAAACGATCCCACATTATTATCTCTCGCTAGACGTGAAGATGGATGCTGTTATGGCAATGCGAGAACAGTTCAATAAAATGTTAGAGAAAGAGAAGATGAAGTTGAGTGTAAATGACATAATCATCAAAGCAATTGCTATGGCTTGCAAAAAAGTACCAGAGGGCAATAGCGCTTGGTTAGGAAATGTGATCAGGCAGTGAGTACATATTTATATTTATTACAGTAGTACAAGTGATGGTTGGACATATCTGAGCATGTTTATACTGGGATATTTTTGTACTGAATAATTGTATCAACAATATGTATTTTTTCACAGATACAATAACGTGGATGTTAGTGTAGCAGTAAGTACGGAGAGTGGTCTAATCACTCCTATAGTGTTTGGCGTTGACACAAAAGGTTTAGTTCAAATTAGTAAAGATATGAGGGTGTTAGCTGCAAAGGCGAGGGAAGGAAAGTTACAACCACAGGAATTTCAAGGAGGAACAATTACTCTGTCCAATTTGGGCATGTTTGGAATCAAGAATTTCTCCGCTATAATAAACCCACCACAATCCATCATTCTTGCCGTAGGTGCTACGGAACCTAGATTGGTTCCCGCCACAAATGAGAAAGGGTAAATATTCTTATATTTTGTAATATTCTTCTGATGTAAGATTATATAGAAAAACTTAAATGCTACTGTAAGGTTCAGAAGAAGAGGTAAGGTTCATATTATAGTTACACGTTATTGTATATTAAATTTGTATTCAATATGTATATTTCTACAGATTTTCGACCGTCCAGTATATGTCCGTAACTGCCAGCTGCGATCACCGTACTATTGATGGTGCGATAGGTGCACAATGGTTATCTGCCTTTAAAAGTTTTATGGAAAATCCATCGACAATGCTTCTGTAATAAGTATGGTAATAGTTCAATTGAATAAGATAATACGTGTAATGATACACAGTTATCTTTTGACAACGAAAGATAATTAATGTGTTCTACAACAGTGGGATGACTTATTTTGTCATAAATGTGAAATCTAATTTCTTACATCTAGTTTCCTCTAGCGCGGTAATTATGCGTAAGTTTGTAAAATATATTTTCCTTTTTTTTCTAGAAAATTCAAGCTGAGCGAGGAGGCGCGATATGCAATTGTAGAGGCACTACAGATGTATCACACATCTTGCTACATACATATAGAATTTGTGGTATTATTTGTGGTATTATTAACTGCCCGAGGTTAATCCTGTGTTGATTCGAATTAAACATGTTTGTCGACATTACGTTTGAAGCTTTTCACAAAGTTATAAGTTTATATAAGTTATACAAGATCTTGTTTATTAATGATGAGAAGACTGATGTTTTGATTCAACACAATTTTGAAATAATTCGAGATAGCCATTGTTCTTCCGATATTAGAAAATTTGTACGAACAAATTAAGTTTCATCTCTAAAATCGATGTCACCTGATGGAACTGCCTTTATTAATAATAATGTGTACATACGTGTATTTATGATGAAAATGCTGCATTTGTTGCAGAAGGTACGATTACCACCGTTTTAGGGGAAGTAACAACAAAAGGTGTCAAAGATGTTTATAGTATATATATATATATATATTTAATAAATTATATCGTACGATATATTGTAAATATTTTCGTTCTTATATTAGCTTTGTAGGTATTTTACGTAGAGTTGACGTGATGGTCTGGTGAAACAATTTTTATCAGTAGAAATGTATCATAAAATCTTTTAATCTATATGTTATTTCCCAGTTTTTCATTCTTTCGCAATGTCGAAATTCGTACAACGGCCCATTGCCGTCGGCGGACTGCAAAATGTTAATATATATAATTGTTTCATGGAGGTTTGCATGAGAACATTCATTTCATATAATTATTCCTTTTGAAATTGTTCCATTTCTTCGAAATAAGAGTACAACGTACAAATATCTAGATGGAATGCGTTCGACTAGAAAGTGCCTACTTTCAGAAGTGAGTCACACGAGTGCACTTTCATTCCGCATTAAGTGTAAAATGTACAAGAAGGTGTAGCCGTCGTTGTTATCATTCATTAGTACCATTTTGCGAGACATTGGAAACGGATCTTAAGAACACTGCTATGTGACCTACGTTCGTTCCGATTTATTCCGATCTAAGCGAGAGAAACATGATTGAACGTGGTAGAACCGTGCGTAGTAATCACTGATCCGTACTTCGATCTTGCATAGTTGACGGTGACTTTTCACGTACGAAGAGAAAAAGGTAGAACGAGTGTATCCATTAACGCCACAATTGAACACGATTGATTAATCTGCAGCATGCGGCTACAATGTTTAAAGTTCTTACGAATATAATGCGTTACTGTCATCATGTAGTGCGATGACGTATAGATGTCAAGATCATACAAAGTACTTATTTTTTTTTAGCCATTATCATGGGATCTAGATTACGGTAAGTTTATTTTCCTTCTGTACACATCGTACATTTACGGATAATCTCGTGTACAAAACGCAGTGAAATCGACTGCCGTCTGTGTTGCATCTGAGTGACTGTTTCGCAATGCAAATATTTCTGTCGAGTTCAGCGAAACGACGAATGTTATGCCTTTTTTTATAAAAATTAATAATACGCGTGTCTTTCTCATTATATAACTGATGAATCTGTAGTGTGTAACTGATAACTTTAAAATTTATAAAATGCGTTTGATTCAGATCATAAACATAGATCCACAATATTTCCAGGGAAAATGTTAAACAACTCTTTGAGTGCTTTTGCGAGGTAGCAGCACCAGTGGGGGAGAAACCAGCGTGGATACTTCAGAAATATCCAAATTCTTTTTTAGATGAAGAAATACTTAAATCTGTTCCTAAATTCGCATACCCTTGTGAAGTTGAAAAGTATGTTGATATTGGCGTCATGTGTCATGTGCTTTAATTGTAACATTGTCCTAACTCTATATTTCTATACAATATAAATGATACTTTGCTATTTCAGTTTGTTGGTGCAACACTTCTCCTTTGTACTCACTAGTATAGATTCAAAATGGACTTTTGGATTTTGCCGTCATGATCCTAAAACAGATACAGCTTTGGTAGTTCTGAGTGCACTACCATGGCATGAAATATTTTACAAGTTAATAGAATATATTTCAAGTATTCTGGAGTGCATTTATGTATGAGCATATTTAAGTTTTAAATTATTAAATTTTATAGGTTACTAAATCATATTGCATCCCTGACCAGCAATGCCAGTGGAGAGGATCTGTGGAAGTTTCTTGAAAATCTTTATACATGTGGAGTTCCAATTCCTGGAAATTCCATATCTATTCCTTTACCAAATTCTACTGCGGTAATTTTTTGTTATATCAAACAAAGCTTTTTAATATGTTACAATTTATAATTTTAAAATATTTTTTTAATATTTCTCTATTGAATCTTTATTGGTAATCCTTGAATATATTAATGATATTTTATTTTTTTCCAGAATTTTGTTTGCCAAAGCCCAAAACAATTTCAACTTCCTAGTATTCCAGAAAATGTAAGTAACATTATTAACAATTTAAATGTACCAAGATATAAAATACACACTAAAGAGAAATTAATTATAGAATTTATCTCTTTGTGTTCTTATTGTTGTTCTTATTGTTTCAGAGAAATTTGACTGAATATTATAGTGCTGTTGATTCATATAATATGATGATAGTATTTGCATCTATGTTATATGAACGTCGCATTATTTTTACTTCAAAACGTCTGTCAAGATTAAGTGCATGTGTACAAGCATGCAATGCCTTAATTTATCCAATGATTTGGCAGCATATATACATCCCTGTTCTACCTTTATCGTTGATAGATTATTTATTAGCGCCTATGCCGTTTTTGATCGGAGTGCCGACGGCAACGCTTCAGGTATTTATAATAAAAATTATATCTCGGAAGACATTACGTTTTCTTATAGTAAATATACATTCAATGTTCTTTCTCTTACAGAAAGTACGCAAGGGTGATTTAGGGGAAGTTGTTATCCTGGATGCTGATAATAATACAATCGAATCACCATTCCAAGATCTAGAGTCCTTACCTCAAGATGTAGTGCGTAAAGCAACATACTGTTATCATATAATAATATGTGTATCGTTAAGGATTAATATACGTCTTAAGTAATAAAATAAAGAGTTTCTGTGTTGCAGGTGACAAGCTTGAAAAAAGCGTTACGTAATAGACCTGCTCTTCTTGGAGACGGCGTATCAAGAGCATTTTTGCGCTCATTAGTACAGTTAACAGCAGGCTATAGAGAAGCATTGACTTTGCAGCAGGGTGAACGTATTACGTTTAATCAAAACGCATTTGTTGAAAGCAGGCCATCGTCCATGCAACCGTTTTTACGGAAAATGTTGGAATTGCAAATTTTTCAACAGGTAGACAAATCCGTATTTAGGCTTTCCTCTCACGTGTTTGATTGTATATCTTATATACCTTTATCTTAATTCTAACATGTAATTATTACTCTTTCTCTCTCCCTCTCTCTCTTCCCTTTCATCCTCTCTCCTCCTCCTCCTCCTCCTCCTCCTTCTATGTAACACTTATATAATAAATATTTTAAATATTTTCAGTTTATAGAGGAAAGATTGAACATGCTCAATTCAGGACTTGGATTCTCAGACGAGTTCGAGATGGAAGCCTGCAGTTATTCAGCTAAATCAAGTAGTAAATTCATGCAACAATATAGGGAATGGACTTACACTATGCGAAAGGAAAGCTCTGCGTTTTTTCGCAGCGTGAAAGATAAGGTGTGTTAATAGCATTTTGATTAAATATTTAAATGCTTACATAGCTTATCTATAGTTGATTGCCACATCTGGCATATTACGCACCATATACATATACACATACACACACATTAAAATGTTTTTAAAAGATTAGTATAATTTTGTTTTATACTTTATACTTTCCATTTCAGGCCAATCCAGCAGTAAAGTATGCAGTTAAATCAGTAAGTTTAATCAGAATTATGATTTTGTGCATATATTATGAATATATATATATATATTTTTTTTTTTTTTTTTTTTTTTTTT